TTCAGGAGATGGCTTGGTCTAGCCTCTTCCCTTATGGATAAAGAAAGCAGGGCCAGGAGAGGGGACTTCCTCTGGGTTCTGTGACTCTTGATTGCCACTGTGGAGGCTGGAGCTCATCTTCCTGATTCTCCAGTGTCCCCTGTTTTTACCGCATTGTTCTGCCTCTCCTTGATGTTGCATAAACTGTGGCCTGAGTGGAAGAGACAAACAGTGGAGACCAATCGAGGCACTGTCCATGTGAAGTTTGGCAGGACTCACTTTCGGGATGGCCACGCAGTATCTGAGTGGTGGTCCTGAGCTTTTAAACAACAGTTATATTACGGTCTTTATTCTCTCTTTTAAAAGGCAAGAAATACTGTAACATATTTCCCACAAAACGATTAACATTTAATAAAAAGTTTTAATGTTATCAGGAAGATTAGGCTCTCCAGAATGATTCATTCCCAGAGGGTTTCAGATGGCCACCGTTTTAGTAAAATTGCTCTCATCTGGAGAACACCTTTAACTTACCCAAAGCATTTTCATGTGTGGTGATGCATTGCAATCTTTAATATATATTTTTATTTTAATGTTTAAGTCATGTGATCCTCCTTTAAATGAAATTTTACTTGAAACCTCAATATATAATAGAGATACAAACAGAACAGTTCTGGGTGAAGCTGGGCTGGGAGACTCTGAATCCCACTCACGGACTCCTTCGTTCCCCACCCGCCCTGCTGGAAGCGCCACCACCCGAGGTCCAGGGTTCTCCACACCTGCTGTTTCTCAGCCACAGAATCGCCTGGGAATGCGGAATAGAGTGTAGATTCCATGGCCTCATATTGCCCAGTTGATTCCAATCTCGCAGTTGAGGCCTGGGCACCTGCATTTTAACGAGCCCACGCAAGGTGGTTTTTGTGCATTCTGATGCTTGAGAAACTCCGTCCTGGGCTTCCAGGGAGCATCATTTGTAAACTCATTCATTCTGTTTTTGACATGAATGGGTGACAAGGAGTCCATGAGTGGGATTCATCATGGTGGACCCTCTGCATTCTTCCCATCAGACCACGCTGCAGGAATGCACAGAACTGGAGTAAGCCCCTGTGGCCATGTGAGCCCAGGCCCATGTTCTATCGAAGCGGGTATCAGAGGCCACCAGATTATCTCTAGCCCTTTCCCTGTCTTTCTCAGAGAAAGGAGAAGGTGTCACACAATGGATGGAGTAAGCCAGTCACATGGGTCTGAATTTGAATCCTCCCCTTCTACTTCCCAGTCACGAACCTCAGTTAAGAAGATTAGAAAGCATACAGTTGGCCGTCTGTATCTTCAGGTTTTGGATCCATGGGTTTAATTATCTGCTGATGAAAAATGTTCAGAAAAAAGGAACAAATAATAATACAACAATGAAAATTAATCAAATTTTAAAAACAATGTAGCAGCTATTTACATAGTATTTATATTGTATTAGGTATTATAAGAAATCCAGAAATGATTTAATATATGGGAGGAAGCATGAGATTACATGGAAAAACTATACCTTTTGATACTGGGGACTCGAGCATCTATATCTTGGTATCCCTGGGGTTCTTGAACCAAGCCCCTAGGGATACAGAAAGATGAATGAACATGTAAATGGCCCAGCAGATGCCTCACATCAAGTGCTTAATAAATTGGGAGCTGTTACTGCTCTTATTCTTAAAGAGTGGCCTCGTGTTAAGAGGGGTCCCATGTAGACGACAGTCCTCTTGAAGTTCTCTGGGTTGGATTCCTGGTAAGCAGCCTGTGTTGTCCCCAGTAGCAAGGCCCACAGATGTAAATGTGGGACAACTAGGGTCCCACAGGACACTGCTAATAGGAATGTCCTGGTCTGGAGAAGAGATTGTTCAGAGAAAGAGCCATGTCCATGCAGCAAAGGGGGATTGTCCTCTGTGGCTTGGCCTTCGCCTGCTTGGAGACCTTTGGTTTGGCTCATTTCCCTTGCAGCATCACCCTCCTTCCCCCATCACTGCCACCTTTTCATATGAGTTCTCTAGAGCTGGAAGGGGGCCTGGGGATCCTAGGCCTGGCTCCACACCACTTGTATCCTTCACCTAATCCCCCCAGTGGAATAGTAGCCCAGGAGAGAGGCTAGTGGGACCCAGCACCTGCCCGGGGTCCTGAACCAGAATGGCAGGCTCAGTAAGTGAGCCTCCTTCCAGCTCCAGGCAGCCTCCTTGCATCACCCCTTAAGGCCCATCACCCTGTGCCCCACAGTTGCGTCTTCACACACTGATGGGTGCAGTAGCCTTCCTATGAACTGGTGTCCCTGAGTGGGAGCCTTCAAGGGTAGTGTCCAAGGCCGCTTCTCATAGCTGTGACCCAGGGAAGGGAAGGATCTGTGTCCTAGACCTGCAGGAGGGCGTGGACGATACTGGTGCTCAGAGTGGGCCACTCCCAGATTGAAAAATAATGATACTAAAATAAAAGCTGCCTCCTGGGGAAGGAGGGTAATTGGGCCACAACTCAGAGAGAGGTACGGAAAGGAGGGGAGGAATAAGAAAGATGACCCCAAACACCCCCTCATCCACTGTGCTGGCCTGGGGTCATCTCTGCAGCAGGGAGCTGACTGGTGCTTCCTCATTCCCCATATGGAGGAGTCACACTGGTCAGTGTTTCCAAGTCACCTCTCCAGACCCCAGCCCCTTATGTACCCTCTATCTCCCTCATCAAATCTCTGTGCCCCAAACACATCTTCCCTTTCACAGACAACTCAACCCACTCACTGGACTCCAAGCCTTTGGTCTTTGTGGTAAACCCCAGGGAGGTGAAGCCCTCTCTCCTCCCTGCTCCTAGAGCCTGGGACCCTCCCAAGGTATAATTCTTCCACATTGTTTCATACCTCTTGTGATGTGTGTGTATGTTTATCACCTTTGATAGAACTTCTTGCCATATTATTTTGTTATTTTTAGTGTCTACTACAGAACCTGGCACACAGTAGGATATTAATAAATGTTTGATGAGAGGCCAACAAATGTATGGAAAAATATTTCACATCACTAATCATCAGAGAACTGCAAATCAAAACCACAACAAGATACCACCTCACCCCAATCAGAATGGACATTACTAAAAAGTCAAAAAACAACAGATGCTAGCCAGGCTGTGGAGAAAAGGGAATGCTCTTACACACACTTAGTGGAAATGTAAATCAGTTCACCCACTGTGGAAAGTAGTTTGGAGATTTCACAAAGAACTTAAAACAGAACTATCATTTGACCCAGCAATTCCATTACTGGGTATATCCGTAAGAAAACAAATCGTTCTACCAAAAAGACGTAGTCACATGTTCATTGCAACATTATTTGCAATAGCAAAGACATAGAATCAACCTAGGTGCCCATCAATGGTGGACTGAATAAAGAAAATGTGGCACATACACACTATGGAATGCTATGCAGCCATGAAAAAAGAATGAAATCATGTCCTGTGCAGCAACATGGATGCACCTGGAGGCCCATTGTCTTAAGCAAATTAGCACAAGAACAGAAAACTAAATATCATGTGTTCTCACTTATAAGGGGGAGTGAAACAACGAGTATGCATGGACATAAAGATGCAATAATAGACATTGGGACTATTAGAGGAAGGAGGGAGGAAGGGAGGCAATGGTTGAACAACTAACTGTTGGTTGGGTACCATGCTCAGTACCTGGATGATGGGATCACCCATACTCCAAACCTCAGCATCACACAATGTTCTCAGGTAACAAACATGGACATATACATATTTAATCTAAAATAAAAGTTGAATAAAATTAAATGATTAATGGATGGATAAAAGCATTTGACATGGAGCATCCCAGAACCTGGGCCACACACAGGGATTGTTTCAGAGGTAAATAGGAATGGTGCTGCTGCCACCAACACCCCCCAGCACATTCGGTACAGAAATAAATGCACAGATATAGACTGGGGCAAGTGCTAGGACAGCAAACAAGTTATGAGTCAGGAACGGGAGCTCTACTGGTAACTGGCGGTTCAGGAGGACCACTGGGAGGACCTGACGGGCCGGGTGGGGAAGGAGGCTGAAGAAAGGGCATGTGAGGGGAATCTAGGGGCAAGAGCTGCACTGCCTGAAGGAACTAAAGGAGGACAGATGTGTCTGTAGCCACATGAACAAGAGAGAGAGGCCTGGACGGGCCAAGAAGGACAAAGAGGCCAGGTCATCAGGGCCTTTGCAAGAGAGTTTGCCCAGGACTGGGGTTGACACCTGTTGTCTGGCATACTATTAATAGCACTCAATTCACCCTCAGAAAGGTCTCAGTTTGGAGGATAAATTATGAGGTTGCCCTGCTGATAGGCCATGCAAAGACATGGATACAGTTGTCCCTTGGTACCCTTAGAGGATCAGTTCTAGGACCTCCAGAGGATACCAAAATCTGTGGGTTGCTCAAGTCCCTGATATGAATGACATTGTATTTGCATACAACCTGTATACATCTCTCTGCATTCTTTTTCTTTTCTGTTCTGTTCTTTCTTTCTTTTTTCTTTTCTTTTCTTTCTCGTTCTCTCTCATTTTCTTTGACAGAGTCTCTCTCTGTTACCCAGGTTGGCATTCAGTGGCACAATCTCTGCTCACCGCAACCTCTGCCACCCAGGTTCAAGTGATTCTCCTGCCTCAGCCTCCTGAGTGGCTGAGTTGCCAGCAGAGTTCCTGACTCATAACCTCCTGTTGTTTGCTGTCCTAGCACTTGTCCCAGTCTGTATCTGTGCATTTATTTCGACTAAAGGTGTCCGTAGTAGAGACAGGGTTTCACCTTGTTGGTCAGGCTAGTCTCGAACTTCTGACCTTGTGATCCACCAGCCTTGGCCTCCTAAAGTGCTGTGATTACAGGCTTGAGCCACCACGCCTGGCTTCCCTGTATACTTTCAACCATCTCTAGGTTACTTGTAATTCCTAACATAATGTGAAGCCTATGTAAGCAGATGTCACATTGTTTAGGGAATGATGACAATGGGGAAAACTCTGTACAGGCTCAGGACAAACACATTTATTTTCCCCTGGATATTTTTGCTCTGTAGTTGGTTGAAACCACAGCTGCAGTCCCCACAGAACAGATGAGGAACCCATGGATATGGAAGGCTGACTGCACACGTATCCTAAGCACAGTGGAAAGCTAGTTTTCAGCAGGGGAACAACATAACATTCTTTGAACAAATGAGGATTGGAAGAACATTTTTAACAGCAAAAACAGTAGACTGAGGGTAATGAGATAAAGGAAGACCCTGAGGAAGAGGAACGCGGTTTCTAGCTGGGAAGAGCTAGAGTTGTGGGGAAGATCTTGGAGGTCACTGCATGCTGAGTACATCATGTCTGGAACAGAGCTGGGGGCAAGTGTTAGGGTGATGTTGCCAGATGCCTTCTGAAAACAAAGAACTAAATAAATTCTAGAAGAGAACGAAGTGAGGCATTCTAAAACTGAGCAGGAAGTAGGAGCCATCGGGCCTTACATTTTATTTGGATTTGTGAATAAAAGCGGGCTTCAAGTTGACTTCACTTATTGAGTGCCTCCTCTAGGCTAGGTGATACGAGAAAGCAGCAAGCACCGACTCAGGACCTGATGCAGTAAGGATAGAGATGGGAACGATGTTTATCAATACTATACATGTTACCGCCTAATATAACCATATAATGACGTATAGTATCAGTACATAAAAATATTTATCTATAAAGGTATATATTGCATATAATGCAGATAATTACTATACATGCTATTATTCATATTCTATAAATGGAAAAATTATTTCTCTGTATGAGAAAATGAAATAGAAATAAGAGGGCCACAGGAGAGATTGGAAGGCCAGTCCCATCTGATGCCGGGTGTAGACAGCAAGTGTGACAGGAGTGGAGAGAAGATCTGTTCTCTGAGGTGGGAGGGCAGGAGAGCGAAGTTAAGGCCATGGGAAAAAGGGCTGATCCTGAAGGAAGGAGACGGAGGAAGAGAGTGCAAAGATCAAGGAGAGAAATGATGTGACTAAAAGCTCCAAAGAGTATCACCTGAGGTCAGGAGTTCGAGACCAGCCTGGCCAACATGGCGAAATCCCATCTCTACTAAAAATATAAATTACCTGAGTGTGGTGGCGTGTGCCTTGGGAGGCCGAGGTAAGAGAATTGGTTGAACCCAGGAGGCAGAGGTTTGCAAGGCGCCAAAATTGTGCCACTGCACTCCAGCCCTGGAGACAGAGCGAGACTCCATCTCAAAAAAAAAAAGCTCCAAGGCTGCAACGTAGTCACAGGTTAAGCGTAAATGTATTGAGCACTTACTATGCTCCAGGATTGTTCTAAGTGCTTCATGAATGTTTACATGTATATTCTCACAACAACTGTATGAGACAGGCACATTTAATCCTCATTTTACTGGAGAGGGAACTTGTGCAGGAAGAAATTATCTGGCTAAGTTCACACAGAGAGGAAAGAACAAAACCAGAATTCAAACCCAGGTGGCCCACTGCTGAGCCCATGTTCTCCGAAAAGACATCCTCTTGTACTCTGCAGTGTTTGGCAAACAGAGAGTGGTCATTTTAGCTGGGCCACGTGGAGCCATTGCATGGGGACAGGGTGTATAAAGGACAGAGCAAGAGCTTTGCCATCAAACGGTCTGAGAGTGCATTCCCTCTGGCAGTGAAACCTCCTGAGCCTCAGTGTGCTCAGTGTTAATACAGGTATAATGGTACCCACACAGAGGGATGCTGTGAGGATTCACCAAATAATATCTACAAAGTGATGTTCATTAAACGACGGCTGGAAAGATACACGTTGTAAGCACTGAGGGTTCTTTTCATTTTTTTGAGACAGGGGTCTTACTCTGTCACTCAGGCTGGATGCAATGGTGTGATCTTGGCTCACTGCAGCCTTTGCCTTCTGGGCTCAAGCCATCTTCCTACCTCAGCCTCCGAGTAGTGGTGATCACAGGTGCGTGCCACCACATCCAGCCAATTTTTTGTATTTTTGGTGGAGATGGGGTTCCACCATGATATCCAGGCTGGTCTTGAACTCCTGAGCTCAAGCAATCTGCCCGCCTTGGCATCCCAAAGTGCTGGGATTACAGGCATGAGCCACTGCACCCAGCACACTGAGGATTTTAAAGAGCGGGCTACAAAACTGAGGCTGGTCATTTGGAAACTTGGTAGAGATGGTGCTGGGGCAGGGAGAGCCTAAGGCAGGTGGGGAGGCAGGAACGATTACAGGTTTGTCCTTGTCACTGTAAGGGAGGAGAACTCGTGTTTTTCTGTTTTCCCTGCCTGGGATCCTAACTCTGTTATGCTTCCTCAACCAGGCTCTTCCCAGCAGAGTGACCCTGGCCCTGGCCTTGAACTGTCCTCTAGACTTATTTTCAGCTTTTCACTTTGTAATCCAACAGTATTAAACTATATGGTCAAAAAAGGACTGCCAGGCATATGGGTTTAGTTTGTGCATGCAGACCAGGAAGGGGAGGAGAGGGATACTCTTTGACAGTCCTTAAGAAAAAAGCATCTGTTCTAAGTACAAAGTGGAAGCAGCCCAGAACATGCCGAAAGCTTCCAGAAAGGCACTGGGGGTGCTCTGCAAATCTGCCTTCCTTCTCCCTCTCCCCTACCTCTTTCTAACCCCCACCTCCCTAACACGATCCTCCAAGGTCTTGAGGGCAAAAGGCAGTGAGGAATAGCAGAATTTCCAAAAGGTCCAAGAGTTTGTGGAAGAGTCTACCAGTATGATTAGGGACATTTATTTTATTCTTATTTATTCGTTTATGAGACAGGGTCTTGCTGTGTCCCCCAGGCTGGAGTGCAGTGGCGGGATCACGGCTCACTGCAGCCTTTTTTCTCCAGCTCAAGGGAGTCTCCTGCTTCAGACTCCCAAGTAGCCGAGACTACAGGCACATGTCACCAGACCTTGCTATTTTTTTTTTTTTAATTTTTAGTAGAGACAAGGGCTCACTATGTTGGATAGGCTGGTCTCTAACTCCTGAGCTTAAGTGATCCTCCTGCCTTGGCCTCCCAAAGTGCTGGGATTACAGGCATGAGCCACCATACCCAGGCAGTTTTTGTTATGTAAGTCTGTGTGAATATCTTCCTCTACTATTAAAACTTAAATTTTAAACTGATGTTTACAAGTTATTCTCCCTACCACACTAATTTTTTTAGCTAGCCTGGCAACCAAACCTCAGCCAGGTTAACTGACTTGTTAGTAACAGTTCAAGATTCAAACCCAGGTTGGTGTGACCCCAGAATCTAAGCTCATAAGCGCTGCTCTGCTAAACTCCTTGTAAGATGGTATTTTGTTAGAGGTACATCTATTCCCGGTTGTTTAGAATGATTATATTTTCTTTTAAGCAAATCCAAATGCTTTTTATTGTTGGTGATGGTGACGGTAGCTCCGTGCAATGCTTGGAAAAGCCAACCTTGAAAACCTGGATCTGTGGCATTTCCTCTCTCTTTGCAGTTAGACAGGCAGGAATTCAAATCCTGACTCACCAGCTCTATGATCTGGCAAGTCACTCAACCCCTTTGCTCCTCAGCCTTTTTATCTATTAAATGGGTATAATAATACTCACCTTGGAGTGTGAATTAGTTCAATCATTGTGGAAGACAGTGTGACGATTCCTCAAGGATCTAGAAATAGAAATATCTCTTTTTGACCCATCAATCCTATTACTGGGTACATACCCAGAGGATTATAAATCATTTGATTACAAAGACACATACACACGTATGTTTATTGCAGTGCTGTTTACAATAGCAAAGACTTGGAACCAACCCAAATGCCCATCAAAGATAGACTGGATAAAGAAAATGTGGCACATATACACCATGGAATGCTATGCAGCCATAAAAAAGAATGAGTTCATGTCTTTTGCAGGGACATGGAACTGGAAACCATCATTCTCAGAAAACTGACACAAGAACAGAAAACTCAACACTGCATGTTCTCATTCATAAGTGGGAGTTGAACAATGAGAACACATGAACACAGGGAGGGGAATATCACACACCAGTGCCTGTTGGGGGGTGGGGAGATAGCAGGGGTGGGGGGACAGGGGAGGGATAACATTAGGAGAAATATCTAATGTAGATGATGTGGGGATGGATGCAGCAAACCATCATGGTACATGCATACCTATGTAACAAACCTGCGGGTTCTGCACATGTACCCCAGAACTTAAAGTATCATAAGAATACCCACCTTGCTGGATGACGGGCAGGAGTTGAGATGATGAATACTGAGCACCTGGCATGGAGCAGGGTCTCCATAAAAAGCAGCTGTTGTTATTAGCAGGGTCTAGATTACGTCTGCAAAATGTCACTGGTGAAGGCCTCCTCTTTTTGGCAGTGAAAGTTTCCACCGTTTGTTGTCACTGTTTGCGAGGCAGGCTGCCAGGGAGACTGGCTGCCCCACCCAGATTCTCTGTTATTGCATTCTCTTGCCTCCCTAGCACAGTTGGCGGCTTGAGCCAGCAGTGGGCAAGACCATTATCTTCCACATTTGTCATCAGGCTTGATGGATAGTATTCCCAAGTTAATGCCATAAATGCTGTTTGGAAATTACGAGTCCATGCTGCTGGTGGTCTGGCCAAAAACAAACAAACAAACAAACAAACAAACACAGATTAATTTATAATCATGTATATAAATTTCATAGATAGTATTATTATCATTCAGGGGTTGAGTCATGGTGCATATGGGGAGTGGCTAGTGGAACCGAAAACCATGTCGCTATAACTCAGTGTAATTCCGAAGACAAGTTATATCTACCACTTTGTTATAAATCAATCGATAACTTGTGTTAAGTGAGCAGGCCTCACCTCCCCAGCTGCACAGGGGGAGTGGCAGAGAGGCTTTGGAGCTTCGTTTAAGGTGTTGTTGGCCACGCTGACTCATGCTGATGGGAAGGCAGAAAACAGACGCTTTGGGAAATTCTTGCATGGACTCCAAATGCCTTGGTCTACTGGACAATGTATCCCAATGTATTCTAATCTATAAGCATTTTAAAAAGTGAATGACATACCTGTGTCTTTAAAGATAGGTCTTTTGCTTGCATTTCGTCTAAAAAGACTACATTTTCAGAACTGGAATTATTTACTAATTGAAGATAGGATTCTGATTGAAACGGCGTCAATCCCAGAAGAGCCAGTAAGCGTTTGAAGCCCTCTCTAAATGCCATGAATCAGGCAGTATATCTTTCCTGTTAATCTATATTGGTTCCCTCCCAAAGGCAGCTGACCCTGGGGAAAGGTAAAACAGAAGAATTTGAGTACCACTGACCTAGCATGTAACTGGCTTTGAAAGTGCACTGCTGGGGAGAAGAATGTGGAAATATCACAGGAGCAATAGCTTGCGGAGAAAAGACGATGGTTTGAAGTCAGTGGAAAGTAATTTTGCCAAGTGCAGAGTTATCTAGTTAACCTATTGTTCAATCTAATGAAAAAGCAGGGCTATTCTGGAGTGTGTTACAGTATGTAGTTTGTCAATTACCCAATCAGGGGGCATTGCTCATTCAGCCGGGATTGAGGGCAATACCCATATTATTTTATTACTATGAAGCCTCAACTTGGCATATTTTTATATAGACTATAGGGTGTTTAATAGCCATGCAAAACTAGGACTTTTTCATTCTCTCTGGCCTAAGTCCATTGTCAGTGGACTAGATTAGTTTTTGTCACTGCAATTAGGATGTTACAATATGCAGTTTTAAACTTATAAATGTGTGGTAAGGTAGAGGGTGTAGAGTTACGACAGTCCCTCGATTTTAAAAAGGCAGGAACAGGTGATCCTTTTGCGAGGAAAACAACCTGAGAGGCTAGGGTAGCTGTCTGCCAAAAGTCTAGAAGTTGCCTTAGAGTCTGTGGGGAAAAAGTCTCCATTTACAGGCTTCCATATGTACCCTAAAATCTCCTTCACCCCCATAGAATCCCAGCACTTAATAGAAATAAGAGTTTATTTGAAAAGCCTCTTAGGAAAAGCTCTGTTAAATCCATGTTAACATAAAAGCAACCTAAAATCATTCTCGTTTTAAAATTTAATCTAAAATTTTATTTTTAATTTAGGAAGTTCACACTAAGGTAAGGCTGGCCAACCATCCCATTTACACATATCATTTCAGAGCATACTTAATGTATAACTGCTGTTAATCACTGGGAGTCCTGCAAGCTGTTATTAATTTAAAAATGCATATATTCTGATTCTTCTGTTTTAAAGAATGTAGTACACATTTCCCTAATAAAGCATTTCCCCTTTTGTGCCTGTGATAGGCTGTTCAGTGGCAGTGGTGTCAAATATTTTTTGACTTTGATAAAAACGTATTGAGGGTCAAGATCATCTCTTAATAGTTCACACTTCTATTTAATAACCCTTCTCAATGTCAAAAGACACCCCATCCTCTCGCAGTCCCAGGAAGTATTATGCACTGCCATTCCATCTCCAGATGTACATCAGACATGTCCATGTTATTCCATATTCGGTCCATTCCAGAGAAAGGCTAAAGGAGACAGAGGGTACAGATCTTGTTAGGTGCAGCCTCTGACACTATCACTATCAATTGTCTTTTGCCGGGGCTGATCATCACCTCAATTATCTAGTGACCAGCCTACCTGATAGGTTTTTGCAAACTATAACTCTTCTGTCGATGAGCATGGAATAATGACAACCAGGGGCAAATGGACAGAATACAAAAGAGATAAACCCAGAAGTAAAATACCTAAGTCTGTCTCCACATAAAGACATACAATATGCTTTCAGTAACAAGTGATTCAACATAATGTATAGCCAGTGGTTGTTTGTAGGCTTATTGAGATTATGCTGATATGTTAAGTAAATTAGATACAGCTGTTGGCTTAAATGTTTTTCCCATGTTATCATTTCAATGAAAACATACCCAATATTTAAAAATATTGCCATATATCAAATGAACATAAATATATAGAATTTTCCCTCAAATCATTGCATTTGTAATTTATAGTAAAAACCATTTTAAAGTTAAATAGGGTTACTTTGTTTAAGAGAAGATATATTTTTCTAAATTATTCCAATTGAAATTCAATTTCAAACTGAAATCATGAATGAAGGAGAAAGTAAAATACAGTGGTAGACTATGCTGGGGATCATAGCAAAATGTATTTTTAGCCATCATGGTTCCACACAACATGAGAAAATAGATTGTAGTACAATATTAATTGAAGTTTTGCCAGTGTGTGGTTCAGGAGGTTAATTTGAAAAGAATACATTAGCAATATATTTAAAGCATTTAAATAAATTAAAATTATGCTTCACACATCAATAACGCAGTTGTTAAATAATATTTTTATTCTATGTAAATCCCATCCATTCATCTTGGTTGTATAATAAATGACCATAATTACAGAGCTTCATTGGGAGGAAGGTCATTGGTAATCCTGTAATTCCTCATTGGTGTAAAGAGAGAAAACAGAACGGTTTGTGATGAATGTATTCAACCTTTGCATACTTTGGTACTTTGGACCATGCATTAAAGTGCAGTCAGAAATTAAGTTCTTCACTTCCACAGCATTTTTAATCTGTTGTGTTGAATTTTTTTTTTTTTTTTTTTGGTAACTAAGGCCTTCGAAGTGCTTCTTTTTGGTCTACACACCACACACACACACACACACACACACACACACCCCAAATTCAGGCTGTCCTATGATACATAAATCCCATTCGAGGTCTTTTCTCTAGAAATAATTTCCTTAATTTTCAGTACTTCTTTTTACTTCTAAGGGGAAACACGATCTTCACAATCCTCTCAAGCTGCAGCATTCTAAATGTGAACACAAGTTCTCAGCCTTGTTTCTAGATGAGCTCTTCTCTCCGCAGATCTCTATTTTCAGGTCACCAGGGAAGAATTTAGTAAATTTTTTCCCTTGAAGAATCTTTGGCTATAACCTGGAAGATCTTTGGTTTTATCCTGGTTCCTAGTCTCCTTTAATGCAAGGACATAACCTGTTTTTCCTAGAGGGACTGAAGATACATAGAAGTGAATGAGAATGTTAAAAGTAATGGGCCAGTGACAAATAAATTACAGAGAAGATAACAAATTAAGACATTAACAAAGATAGCTCTGGTTTAATTTCTCTGTAGGCCCTGTGTCCTTCTAACCCTAGAGGCCGTGCATTTTCTGTCCTTTCTAGGAGCAGACAACGCTTGGGCTTTGCATATGGAAATAAGAACAAATGACTCTTAATTCCTAATGAGAAAAATATCAAAGTGAGCAGTATTCCCTATGTGTGCCATAAGGGGCTTGTAATTGAAGGGTCTGCGGAAGAAAGGGTTCCAAGCAGAGGGAATTCCTTTTAATGAAGCTTGGATTTAGTCCCATTATTCTAATAAAGTGTAATCAATTGGTGCCGACAATCTGAAGGTCTAGTTCAACCTCTGATTAGATCTTGGTTGTTTTTAAGTCCACGGGCACGAGAAAGGGAAACACAAGTTAATAGGCTTTTGGGTCAGTGATCCACACTTCCTGAAGCAAGCTGGAGTTCGAAGGAGGGCAATTTGGAAGCTGTCTTAGCATAAATCTAAAGCAAGGCTCTGGCTGTCCAGGGGGAACCGGGCCCTCAGCACTCCCCAAGACATGCTTTGAGCCGATTCTACTCTTAATCCAATTTACTCAGCCGAATAAGTCCCACTGCTTCAGCTTGCCAACAAATTAAAATCCAGCTTCATAAAAACACCTTGAATTTGGAAGGTATTGGCTGGCCCACTAGACTTGAAACTTCATTTATTCTGGCTAACTTCTCAATTATCTTCCCAGCAGTGGAGATGTGTAAAAGTGCAAAAATCAATAGGGTTCTATTCCCATTCTATTGGAAAGGGAAAAATTAATGAGATAGGACACTCTCTTAATCAGAAATAAATGTTTTAATTCAGATAATGACATAGTTTTCCCTCGCTGAAGGATGACAAATGCTGGGCTGCGCCCCCAGCAGAAGCAGTTTCAATTTTATTGTAAATATAAAAGGTATTGATCGGTGAGATGTACAAACCCCATTGCTTACAAAAGCCATTCAGGGGGACTGGGAAAACTATTAAGCACTGGGTCAGAAATCAATAAACAACACTGAAATGTAGCAGAGGTCGCCCTAGGCTTTGTGGCATCTTTGAAAGCCAAGTGGCAGGAATAGTGACAGAAATGTCTCTTGTGGAACAATGTTGGGGATGAAGAGGGTCAGATGTTTAATCTCTTCTGTGGTTTGACAGGTCCAGGGAACAGAACTAATGTAGTCTTTCACTGCTGTCTTTGATTTAAATACATGCTGATTCATCCCTTTGCTGACAACTGTATTTATTGGCTTTGGGGTGCCTAAATGTATTGGCCGAGGAGGAATCAGGGCATATTTGCGAAGACAGGGCAGTTGTGTTTATGCAAATGGGTCACATCTTGAGTCCCCTTCTCTCCTTTCAGGAAGAAATAAACAGACACCAAAACTTCTTTTTATCACACTGAGAGTTGGGTGTACAGTTTACCACACTGAACCTCCTATTAGAGCAATTACAAGGAAGATGAAAGCATGAGTATTTTTTTTTAA